ACTTGTTTATGTCCCCATTAAAAATTAGTATTACAACACATTAAATGCCACTTACTTGTTTGTGCCACCACCATAAAATGTTCCGTGTGAGTAGCAACCTTTGCAGTGCCTTTTCTGGTCTTGCTGTGCTCACACGGTAGATAGAGGAGGGAGGTATATACTGGGTTTAAAGTGTGTGTGTGAGTGTGTGTGTGTAAATTATATCTGCCCTGTGTGCAAGTTAAAAAGCCAGTTTACATGACTGATGGTCATAATTTGTGCCCTCCAGGCAAAAATACAAGTGAGACACTTTTTTGGTTATCAAGATCTGGAGCTGTGACCTTTGATTTCCTGAAACTTACCTTTTCCACATTTCCAATTCCTCATTTTTAGATCAGGGATACTAATTTTTACCTGTATCTCTAATAAGAGTGAAATATAAATTCTAAGTTATAATCTTTTAGTCTCTAGGGAACCCCACAGTGACTACACTTCGGAGTAGGGACAATGAAACTACAGAAGGCTTTTCTTCTGAGATATGGAATCTCATATGTATGTATGAATGTATGTATGTATTTTTGAAGGCCCCAATTTCACAAAAATTAAAAATGCTGGAACTAAGGAATAAAATTGTATAATAAAATAAGTCACTAAATTTGGAAAAATTTCAGCCTTTTTCCAAACCCAATTTTCCTGCTCTACTTTCTCATTATTTCGGAACAACATCTTCATATATCTTGAGCCACTTAACACTGTCCCACAGGCTGCTCAGGTTCTATTCATTTTTTTAAATCTTTTTTTCTCTATTTTTTAGTTTTGATAATTTTGATCTATATTAATTCATTGACTTCACCCCTAATTGTCAGTTTTCAATCTGCTGTTAAAGCCATATATTGAATTTTTTATTTAAGATTGTACTCTTTAGTTCTAGAATTTTCATTTGCTTCTTTCTTATTTAATTTAAATAATTAAATTTAGTTTGTTAAATAAAAATGTAAAATTTTACTTCAGATCCTTATCTTGTCTACTCTTTTCCTTTCACATCTTATTCATCTTTTCCTTTAAATCTATGAAAATATTTGTAATAACTGTTTGAAAATTCTTGCATGCTAATTCTGTGGGCCTACTTTTATTGACTACTTTTTCTCTTGATTATGGATGCCATTTTCCTGCTTCTTCACATCTGGCAATTTTTAATTATGTGCTCTTCATTCTGGATGATATATTTTAGGAAGTCTTGATTATGTTGCAGAGTTTTGGCTGTTGAGTTTTATTCTGACAGGAAATTAAATCACTGGAAGATCTTTTTGGTCCTCTCAGGGTTGGTTTATTTAGACTTTTCTAGATCACGTATAATTTGGTGTGTTCTTCACTCAAGGTTGTGGTCCTTACTCTTTTAGTGTGTCCTTCTGGAACATAGATTAAATGTCTGAGGTACTCACAGAGCTTTGTCCCCTCTGGATGGGCTGGCACTTCAATATCTGATAGTATTGAATGACGTCTGGTATCTCTGTTCAGCTCTTTATGCCCCAGCAACCACTCTGTGCCAACCTTATGAAATTTCATCCTGTGTGCATGCAACCCAGCCCTCTGCAAGTACTTGATAAGAACTTTTACACAGACCTCTGCAGCCTTCTCCGTGCATCTTTTTCCTCTCTAGAACACTGTTGTGCAAATTGCAGCTGCCTAAACTCTATTTAGATATGCTACTTCTGCCTCAAACTTGTCATGTCTACAGTAGAGCACAGTATTTCCCTTTTTAGTTCTCTCCTCCTTCTGTGTTACTGTGCTCCATTGGTGACCTAACTTTACTGCCTAGTCTTTCTTCGACAGTCTCTTTTCTTCCATATCCCTTTGACCACCAATTCCAGTCAGTTTGTCTTTGACTATGTCTTTCTCCTTCTTATCATCATGGTAGCAGTCTTAATTCCTTAATTGTTCTCAATTTTATGATACCACAGCACTTTACTAATGCTACTGGTAGAACACTTGCTTTTTTAAAAATTATACTAGAATGCCTGGCATTCAATAAATAATTGTTAACTGTATAAAGGAATGAATGGGTATTGTGTATGTATCTGCCTCACCTGCCAGACTGTCAGCTCATTTTGATCAGGGACAATAAAATGCAGGACATATAATAGATATTCAGTAAATGTTTATTGAGTGAATGTTATATTACTAATTTTTTGCATAAATATATTAGGTCACCTGAATTAGTTAATATGTTATATCATATTTATTTTTCAGATCATGCTCAGTATTTTCCAACCTATCTTAAACCATTTTGGGGGGAGGGTAAGTCTATTTTCAAAGCATGCCAATATATTAAACCATCTTTTATATAAGACCATTTAGTTTTATTACAAGCAAGAAATATTTATCTGTGCTGCCACCATTCTCAATTTTGCAGATGCTCACAGTTTTTCTTAAAATGCTGACTTTTGGAGTTAAGAAAAATACATTTAATGAATTAACAAAAAACAAAATAATTGTAGACGTTTGTGCTATGCCAGAGATGTAAAATTTATTAGGATGAGCATGAAAAAGCTCCTTAATTTCCACCCAAGACCGAAAACAGAATTCCCAAATACCCAAAGAAAGATACACTTTAATATGAAGGAATTGAACAACTTCGGGAAAGCCATAGGCATCCACCTGCTTAAATTGCCCTTGGTTACTGATATCCGCTACATGGCCATGGAAAGTCTCTTGGCTTCTTTTGTGGGGAGATTGTCAGTGATAGTATCATCCTTGTTCCAACTTCGGAAGCAAAGGTAGTGAGTTGCAGGTACTGAGGCAAGTGAACACTAAAGCTTCTGGGTTGAGCCTTTCAAAGTCAGGCACTGGGCGAAGCAGCCGTCGGTCAGCAGCAGCTTGGGAGGCAGGGCTCACAGCAGGGCTGAGTGAAGGTTGTGAGGTTGATGGTCTCCAGGCCTGGGGTGGGCAGGCAGGAGTTGAGCAGGAAGCAGGTGGGCACACAGGGCTGAGGAATGTGGCAGGGTGGGGGGCAGTTGTCACAGCAAGTTGGCTCCAGCAACCAAGTCGTGTGTGGGCAGGTGCTGGGCAGGCAGACTCCGCACCGGCAGCATTTCTCAGAGGAGCAGATGGTGGTGGCAGGACCGGTGGGGACGCTGCAGCAGCAGGGAGTACAGCAAGCCATGGCGGTGGAAATCTGTTTTTTACTGGTTTTGTTTCAAGGCAGATGAGGTTTCTGAGGTGAGAATGTCTCTCCTTGCTCTGGGGTTCTTATATACCCTCCCTAATGGGTGTTGGTGCAGCCAGAAGGCTTCTTTCCTGGTTCTTGTTTATGTTGGAATAGCCATTATCCTTTAATTGGTTTGACATTTAGATGCTTGTAAACAGTCTTTATTTTCCCAATTAGCCTTTATTTGAGTTTCTTGCTAAATTTGAGCTGATTAGTCTTTCTATTTGTCATTGGAACAGGAGCTTTATGAGGTATCACCAAAGGTTTCTGCTATTAGAGTTCCAACCCCAGCCCTGCTGAGGAACATTGTGTGTCAGCACACCTGGAGTTTGTAGGGCTTATCTCTAGCGCTGGTCAGTTTTTATTCTCTTTACCTGTATCTGTTGATCTGATGAGGTATTCTTGTTTTAAAGAGCTGAATTTAATTTTAGTTAACTTTCTTTTAGCTTTGGGACCTGTTTTAAAATTACTTTTTTAATATATATAATTGACATATCACATTGGATTAGTTTAGTTTAGGGACGTTTGAAGATCAAACTTACATTAATATGGAAAAATACTACTAAGAAATATGGGCAGACTTTTAAGAAATAACCTATTCCATTTTTTACCATAACATGGTATGCATTTATTTAAAAATTTGGACAATATAGAAAACTATAAAGAAAACAACTCATCCATAATTTTATCAAGATAAAGTCTCCATTAATATTTATATATATCTCTCTAGTCACTTTTCCATATAGTTGTTTATCATTTTATTACATTACTGGGATCATATTGTACATGCTGTCCTGTAACTTTCCGTTTTGCTAAAACCTATATATTTTCATTATCTTGTATTCTTAAGTATATTTGATAAAGTTATTTTTAATGTTTCCTACCATTCTTCATATAATTGTACTTCTAAGTTACTTAAAAATTTCACATTATTAATCATTTATGTTATTTTCAACTTTTCTCTATGATAATTTCGGCATGGTAAACAACTATATATAAATATTTATGCATGTTTCTGATTATTTCAGGACAGAAGTAATTATAGGCTGGAATTATTGGAACAAATGTTAATTCACAATATTTTAAGGCCTTTGATAGTCATTGCCCCATTGGCGTCTAGAATGGTTCAATTTACCTCTTTCTTTCTATTTATGCATTCCCACCAGCTATGTTTGAGAATTCCTTTTTCTATATGCTTTTGATGGATATTTTATTTTAAAAGTGTTTGCCAGTTGGTGGGTGAAAAATAAAATTTTATTGGTGCATTTTTCTCTTATAACAAGCTAGGCCATAACATTCTTTCGTATGTGCACTGTCATTTCTCTTTCTGTTGAAAACTGTCTCGCTTTGTTTCCTTCACTGTTCAGTGTGGAAAAGTTGAATTTTTAGCTTATGTTTTATAGTTTAAGATCCTTATGCTAATATTTAAATCGAATTGCTACGAATGGAAAGTGAAGTTCCAGGCCCTAAGCTAATCTGTTCACATTTGATTTTGTTCACTGTTTTGTTTTGGTTTTGTTCCAGTGTAGTGCATTTTCTCTCCAAATCGAATGGAGCTGTGGTAGGGAAGGCCT